GAAACAGTTTTGTGCTGGAGCCGAAGTGTGCTGCAGGCCCGATCCTAGTAAAACTTAAGGAGTAAATGGTCTAAATGTAGTTTTGTTTGTGTAGCTCCAGAACTGGGCCAAAGATGGTGGCAGGACTCAAAGCCCTACAATAGTTTTTGTGGGGGACATACACCCCCACAAAAATGCATCTTTAAAATTTCGGCATAGGAACAATGAGTGTAAAAGGCTCCCTGAGAGGTGACCGGCATCTCCGTTCTATAACCTTAGTCATTTAAGCACAGTTCTATATAAACCATTGTTTATACATCGGTGATATTAACATTTAAATATGAGCTGTGAAATCACTACTACTCAGTTCTTAATAAAGTAAGTTGAAATAGAAACACAAAAGTGGTGTTTGATATGTAGAAGATCTAAAATAGACTTTAAATGACATCTTTCAAGATATATCTAGACCTAATTCCTTGAAAGACTTTATGAACGTGCGTTACTTCAGAAGATTGCTAACCTGATTTGTACATATACATAAATTTGATTGAAAATCCTAAGTAAGTGAGATTGTGCAAATGACACTGCAACCCACAAGAAAATTGAGCTTCAATTCAAATTGAGCCAAAGAAAAATGGGCTTCATGCTTGTGTTAGCAAAACTGTTTAAGATTATCTTTCCAAATCTGGACTCAGTTGTTGGAAAGCCTTGTTCTTGTACGTGCACTAATACCGTATTGCTTTAAAAATTGTGGTTATACTCATGCTTTTCCTTGATTACATGCACAGTTTTACTGACACAAAATTGCTTGTAACCAGTGTAATTTATTCACTATAACCAAGAAAAAGAAACTCTTTGATATAACTGTGTTCATGCTCAGCACATAGTTCGTGCTCAGAAGGATTTTGAGGTCCTGTAGTAAGAAATTTGACAGATGATGTTTCTTATTTGAAACCATGTCCTTGAATAAAATGTATGAGAGAATAGGATGGGGTTTCTTGGTATAATTGTCTTTGCAGTCAAGTCTTTGACAGGCCAGATATTTCAGTTGTGTTATTCTATGTGAAGAGGTTGACCAAACCTGTAAGTCACAACTGTATAGCTCTGATGAATGTATCACAGCTGCCTTAGTCATATCATTCTAACAGAACATCTCACTGAAAAAAACATTCTTACACTTTAAATAAGGAATCACAACAAATGTCCATATACCCTAAAACCCCCAAGATATATGAGACTGTGTCAGTCATTAAAAAACGCCAAACAAACAACAACCAATAACCCACTCACATTTCAGGCCCTCTGCATTTTCTAGTGAAGTTTTTAAAAGATGAATGTCTTGTTTATTTTACATCCTTTTAACAGAACATTTGGACTAAGGAAATACATTGACTATATTGTGAGCAATCTGTAATAATTCTAAAGCCACATGGTCTAAGCATATAAACTTCGTTGAAGGTGCACTTGGGAGAAATATGATGATTCCTTCTAGAGTACTCATGCCAATAGTCATTCTGTAGTTCATATGCTTATTGTGCAGGTCATTGATTTAGCCTAAGGAGCTGAATCATGGGATTAAGAATGTGATTTAGTGAAACTAAAGAGTGATAAAAAAGAAAGAGGAAGAGTGTTGCAACATTTCAGTTGTGCAATATCTTAAAATAAACTATAAAAATTAACTAGAGCTTGTATGGGGAAATTCCAGTTACACAAAGGAGAAAAATATTGACAATTTTTAGTTCAAAGTTTCTATAATTCTTATTTGCATTCATCAAGTAACCATTGTATGCCTTGAGGTAACTCGTTAATTTTATTTGTTTACCATGTAACAGCTGTCAAAGTGAGAGAAAGACTACATCCGAATTTGTCGTTGAAACTGTGCTAATGTCTCATCAAGTAAGCCACCCAAATATATTTCTGGGTAGATAAAAATGAATATGGTTTTGTGTTTTCTAGCAGCTGAGTCATAAAAAATTGTCAGGTTATGCCCAAATTAGTCCTTTTGCTCATACTACTCACAATCCAAACTAATTTGGATGTTCTGGGGTGGCTGTTTGGTGGTTTGAATTCTCAGTGAAAGAGTAAGGGAATTTTCCTTGAAGTATCTGCTGCCAGTTGGGACCTCTGGATCAGAATCCCTGTAGGCAGAATTTAATGCTCCCGCTTTAAAAAATCGGGACTTCAGTTTGGAGAGAAATAGTTTATGATGGCTATGAAGAAAATTTTATGATGATGAGTCTTTTGTCCCTAAGGTATTAGTTCCCTATCTCTTTTGATTTCTTTTCTTTCCACACTTCAGAGGACTGGTTTTCTGTTTGTAGAATTCTGTTACATGAGATGGTGACACAAATGCTGTCATGTTCTTACAGGGCTCCTCCTCTTTTCCATAATGGTTGTGCTCACCTATGCAACACAGCAAATAAGTGAGAACATGTTTTTGTTTCATATGTGCCATTTGCTTTTTTCTTTTTCATGAAAAGAAAGTAACTGTCACAAATACTTTTTTATTTTCTTTTTTTCCAAAGCAGCAGACCAGAAGCAAAACAAAAATATACCTAAGTCTTCACTTACCTTCAGGGATTTTTATAGTGGAAAATACAGCATTGGAAAGATTGTGTCCTTAAGGGACAACACAACAGTGCAGTACTTTGTAAATACATTGTAGATATGATATAGTATTCTTTGTTTGAAGTTTCTTGAAAGCATACAGCTCAGATTATTGAGTTTGAAAATAGACAGTAGCAAAAATCACCTATAGACTTTATTTAGCTTGAGAAAAGCTTTAATTAAAAAATTAATAGAGTTCAGTGCAATTTCAGGTTATTTGGATTGCTCTTATGATGTGAAATGTTCCAAGAACTTCAAATGGCTTTCTTTGCGTGTGCTGATTTCATTTGCTTCTCACCTAAAGTCCTTCAAAAGCTTTGAAGTGATTACAGTCTGGTACTTAGCATAGAGCAGTTTCTGACTTGAAAAAGTCCTTCAAGACTGTCACAAGTTAATCACTTTTTAAATAGAGTCCATTGCTGCATTTATGAAAGCACTCCAGAAACATGAGGGTAAGATGTGAAGTTCAAGGTTATAAAATGAGCTAAATGAAGCATGGATTAAGATGATTTTAAATGTCCAAAAAAAAAAAAAAAAAAAATTCCTGTACTGTTTTCATTGATTCCACTATCAAAAAGAAACAAGACTAATACAGAGTACAAGCTGGAGCAAGTTTCAGAAAGCATTACAAACAAGAAAATACAGATGAATAAGGATTCTTAATGCCTGAAAAGTTGTAAAAACTTGTCTAAAAGTCTGGTTCCAGCTTTTGCTGTCTGAGAATTTGGAAACAATGTAGAAAAAAAAAACCCCACCACAAACAGCAATAATGAACACCCCCCTCCACGTCCCCAAAATTCCCCAAAACAAGCCTGAGTTTTTTCTCTTATTTTTGCAGTCTTTTCGTAGAAAAGTATTCTCCCTTCACCTTAAGCTTCCTCCCATTCTTGATAAATCACCTTAGCAACTGACTACACAAATGCTTCTGTAACATCGAAAGCATTTCAGAGCAAATATGAATTTCTAAAACAATAATTCTTTTGTTATGGTCAAACTCTTCTGGCTTGCATTTAACAAAACTGTCAAAGTCTTTAAGAATGATTGCTTATGTAGAGAGTGCTTTCTCGTTTGGGTGTTAAGAGCACAAGCATTCATGCTGAGCATCTGTCATTTTGGCTGCACTCAGTGGCAGGTTCAGAAGTTTAGCACTGAAAACTAATAATCCAGCCTCACTGTTGGAATGAAGAGTATTCATCTTGAATTGCATAAAACAAAAAGAATTCTAGCTAGTACCTACTTTTCCCATCATACACGAATGAAAGCTTGTTCCTCAGAATCTTTGCTTAGTTTCTACTGAACTTTGATGTTAGCTAAAATTCTTAAGTGTTTATGTTTCTGACTGTAGAGTTCATTAGGTGCTTCTGTTTACACACACAATCATGCCTCTTGGTACTGCTGAGTAACTGAAAACTCAGCTCACACCCAAATTATGTAAAGGTTTCTGAGCTACTTGTTTTCCATTGGCTTGACCAACACAGACTGATCAAATAGATATCAACTGGTTGTACATTGGACAAAAAAGGCGATGGCATCTCAGTATTCTTCTTTCATTGGAGCACTCACTTTGTATAAGAGTCCTGCTTGAGGGAATGTTCTCCTAGGAGTATGTCCTTCCTGGCAGGAAAGGGCATTCTCATGGATAGGTGATGGCATATACTAGGGAAAAGAGGGAAGAGGATTCTATGATGAAGGTACTCCATTTTGTACATAACACATATTTTGTATATATGATGCTTTTCATATATATGTATGTTTATAAATTCTGTAGATCTTCTCACGCTCATGCTCCATTGGTCTGTCCCAGCGAATGTCTAATCAATCCCTATAAGGGTGAATTGCTTCAGCAGAAGAGACTTACAACACCTTGGGCTTAAAGTACTCTTAAGCTGTATCTACATTAGTAAATTAAACAGTGCCTAGGAACGTTCCCAAACATTGGAATGCGATTACCTTCCTGGAGTATAGTCCTTTCAAACAAATCACAAAATTAAGCCAAATTTTTTCACATCTTAGAATACTGCATTGCATTAGCTATGTTCTACTCCATCACGGTGTTAATTTGGCAGATAAAAGAAATGTCATTTCTGAAATGTCATTTATGTGATCATTTATGTCATTCATGCTTAAAGTATCCCTCTGTCACATCTCTGAATATTGCATGCAAAAAAAGAAGAAATACAGTTCAAATAGTATGCTCTAAAAAGATGATTTCTTTCTAAAAAGAAAGATTCAGTATTGCAAATGGAGCTTAAGTGTGCAGCAGATGACATTCCAGTTGTTCCAAATGTTTAAATGTCTTGCACACATAGCAGCACTTAACACAAGCTGCATTTCTCTTGGGGTTTCATATGTACATCTCATTTTTGTTCCACAGACAACCATTAACTTTTAATTTCTTTCTCTTCCTGTTTTAGTGACACTGGAACTAAACCTCCAGAGAGCGGTATCTTTGGTTTTATGATTAATATTTCAGCACTTTTAGGTATGTATAAGGTACTTGGTTTGAACACAGCAAAGAAATGAAAACCAGCAAAAACTGTCTCTCTACATTGCAGTCCATACAATGTTCTGCAGAAAAAAACTACTCCTCCATACAATATTCTGCAGAAAGACTACTTCACAGTCAAATGGTAGTATCAGGTAGATGGAAGTAATATCTAGAGGACCAGGTCCTTAAAGTCAGTAAGCGAAGGCTTAGAGGCACTCCTGTATCTGAAGAGCACCTCATTTGTGCAAAGTAATTGATGCACCTGGAAATAAAAAGTGGAAGCAGGATGGTATAATTACTTGGCAAAAACTGTATCTTTGGCATAGGGAGACATTTGATTTTAGGATTCTGCAGCAAAGGTAAGAACAGTGTTGAAGCAACACCTGGTTCCCTCTGCAAGACTCCTTTATTAAATGTCTGCTGGCCTTGAATCAGGAAGTTTAGCATTTTCTATTCACTTCTAGGGGATGGAGAATCAAAGGCTGTGTGCCTTTCTATACATTTAGCCCATGATGGCCTTCATGCAACGAAAAAAAATCACATATTTTACCTTTTCTAAGAGCCTCATTCAGTCACGCTATCTTGGTGTGTTTCGTATAACCTTACAGCACCTGGGCAAAGTTACCTGATTTATTTTGCCAGCTGTAAATAAACCGAAACTCTATTCTGTGTTATAGAACTATGGAATACAGTCTCCACCTTACTGTATCCTGATGAACCATGATCTTCTAATTCAGCAGAGGTGTTTGCCAGGAGTGAACTGCATATTGGGATCACATAGGCAGGAATAAAGCCTTTGTGTGGTGATTTGGGGACACTGTTGTAGAGCAGCCAGAACTGGCCCAAAAGCTTTGAAAATATTTTCTGGATACACAGCTAGTTATGTTTTTTTCTGTTTATACTCCACAAAAATATATTAATTCATCAAAGCATCCATTATAAGGAGCAGAATAAATCCCCTACATCCAGTTCATGATTAATTTCCCTGTAACATCTATTCCTAATGTGGAATGCCAATGCCTCCATGCCTAAAATGCACAGGAGAATGGTATTTATATTAGTGTTTTACTTGAAGTGATGTGCAGTTATTTCTAGATAGCATTAATGTGTGAAGTTAAGACTAAGATGTTAAGACAGTTCTATCTGAAATAATACTTCTGAAATTCACTACCTTTCTTCTTCATCCCAGCAGAGTTAAAGGCAGTATTATTTTCTGTATGCTAATGTGTTACAGGGCAAGTTGTTCAAACGTAAACATCATCATTAAAAAAAATACAAACAATTTTTGTTTTTCAGGTGTAATTACAATGTGCATCAGATATTTATTAATAGAGAAGCAAAATGAGTCATCGCACTTTATTAGGTCTTCATGCAACATGTTTTCACTATGTATTGGATTGATGGGCTGTACTGGAATGGGCATAGTTGCAACTTTTCAGGTATGACTGTAGATTTCATATTGCAAATGAAACTAAATGTTTTATTAGTTAAAAAAAAAAAGATAAGAGTTGCTAACATTATCACAGTGTGGATACTTGACAAATGGAGTAAAAATGTTTTTCTTGCTGCTACCTTTATTCAGTAGCTTTAAAAAGACAGCTTTGTTTTCTCCCTATATACTAGATCTTTGGCTTGTATAGTTAAGTTAGTAAGGGAGTTTGTGCGTGCTTGTCTTGTAACATGTCTGCACTAGAAATCAACTTAATATAGATGCTTTTGCTGTAATTTTTACTATGAAAATCTTACTGTAAAAAGCTTTGCTATTCTCAGTTTAGTTTGCTTACAGTCAGGGCAGAATAACTCAGACTGGCAAAAGCACCTGTGTTTTTAGCTGCACACTACTAGCATTTTCTACAGGTTAGAACATTGAGCACAGTATTTGCCCATTGTTTTGATTCTGTAGGAGATGGCATAACAATATATTAAGTCTTTTGATAGAGACATGTAGAATTACCAGTTACAATACCAGAAAGGATAAGACATCTCATTATAAATCAAAGTCCAGCCCACAGTGTCTGAAAGAAAATTCAATAGAGAGGAAATATATTGAAAGATTTATTGAATTCTTTTCACCTTTTCTAGTAAGGAAGCGTGTAATAGGGTACATTTTAACACAGAGAAGTATTAGGACACTTGCTCTCCAAAATTTAGCCGAGAATCAAGTCAAGTTTCATTGGTAGATAGTTTGAGATACTGCCTTTAAATCTGTGGAAACAGATGAATTTTTTCTTTGAAAGGATGGCCTACTTTGGGGAACATTTTGGTAAATACTGTTGTGCTCATATAGTAAGACCAGAAAACACGGAGAAATAAAAGATAAAAGTTGTCAGGGCTTCAGCAGCCAATACAATTTTGCATGTAATCAACATGGTATCTTCAGACAAAAAACTGCCTTAGACTGGTATCTTATTCTTCTTAGTTGTACTTCCACGCCGTGACTCTGGATTGCAAACACTACAGGCACTGCTGTCTATTCTAAACATGCAATTCTACTTTTAAATATCTATACTCTTATTAACCAGATTTTAGATTTAGATGTGTCACAAAAGAATTTAGATAATGGGCAACGGTGTTGCTTGACTGAAATGGAAAACAAACCCAGCTTCAATAAGGAAAAGACAAATCAGGGATGCAAAATAACTTGGGAGAGTCAGAGAAGCAGAAACTTTGATCCTAAAGTTTCCAGTTTACAGTTATAGCATTGGTTCTTAACTCTATTGTGTGTCATTGCCTGTCCATAAACTCCTTCTTCACTTAATTTTTCTTTACTCTACTCTGACCTCACTTTCCATGTTAAGTGCAGTTTGCAGGAAGGATCTAATCTGTCTAAGAGCCCAGAAGAACGCAGTAAGGATCTAATCTGTCTAAGAGCCCAGTCTAGCAGTTTTTTGAGCATTCTTAATTACCCAGAAATATTGAAATGGTGGCTGCAAGTCTTCAGTCTTTTAACTGTATAATGTACACCTAGGAAAGAGTAAACTCTTATTCCCGTTTACCGTTAGAATAATTGAGACATGAAGAGGCTGTGAAATTTGCTCAAAATCAGGTGTTTGTTTCACATCAGGAGACCAAAGCAAAGCAAAACTGGAATTATAAGTTATTTCTTTAGCATTCAGTCTAGTCCATCTAAATGGGTTGATCAGAAAATTCACATTCCTGTGCACTATCTGTTTGTTTCGTAACACTTGCTTTTCCTCAGCAGGTGGGCTAACACCATACCTGAGTACTGTAGTGGAGCTGATTGACACTATTTGACATCAGTTCATTTTCTGTTTCTCCAAAAGAGAATATTTGGTTTGATAAAAAGATTTCAGTGTGAAATTATATGGAAATATTTAAGGTTTGCTTTTATTTACTCAAACCTAGTGCCACTTGTGCTGAGTCCTTCAAGTAGCATAATTAGTTGTAAAGAATTTTTTTTCACCCTTTTTGTTTCAGGCTAAGATGTGGTAGGTAGCATGGGTGGTATTTTGAGACCAATGGTATTGATCTCAAAGTAGTTAGCAGAAGTGAGAAAGGAGGTGAGAGAAAACACTAGTAGTGCATCCTCTGAAAGTGAAGGAGTTTCTGAGAAAAGAAGTAATGGTCATGAATATGGTGTTTATTCTTTCTTCTAAATAACACAATCCTTGAAATACAGAGTTGTCTGTGGAGAGTTAGCTTTAAGAAGATAATTGGTTAAGGAAGGAAAAATGCAGTAGCCCTTAATGAATAAGGCAAAGCAAAACCCCAGGTCTTAGCAAGTCTGGTTTTGCCTGTTTAACATTACATGTGATTAAAGAGATATATTCTTGTCATTGACTAGAGGAGGCTTACCATAGCAGAAGTAGCAATATTTCTCAGGTTGTATAGGGGTTGTCTGTGATGGTCTTTTTAGGGAAGCTGTAGCAGTTTCGTGGGTGCAAGACAATGTTAGAAAAGCTCTATATAGTGTGCATGGGGCTAAATGCAAAAGCCAACAGTTATACTTGCTTAATGCTTTCCATACCAAATCATGTCATTCCTACATGGAAGGCAAAAAGTGGAACAAAAATGTGGGGAAGAGTAAAAAGGCTGAATAATTTGAGACTGACAGTGTAAGACTTTCATATTAAAAACTTATTTTAGGTAACACTTTCTAGAAAAATATATATAACTAGTTTTCTGCTGACTTTTTTCGTGGAGCCTTGTGGCTGGGCACCGGATATAGCAGACACTATTTAGAAGAGCTTCCATGAAACTTTACTATTAGTTAGAGCATAGCCACACAAATGCAGATTAGCCTTTCAATGCAAAAGGATGAAAATCTTTGGCAGAGTACAGGGAAAAAGGAAGTATAGAAATCTCTTTAGAAAAACACAAGCCAGAAAGAAACGTTTGTGGAAATGTTAATTAGTAATAGATCAACTGTTGAACAGCACTAAAATGGATTTTTCTTTCATCTTCCCTGTGTAGACTGTTGGGAGACGGGACTGTTTCCCACTGCTTGTACATGCTCAGCGTAATGTGGCTACCATTTTAGGGCTCATTGATTCTTACCACTGTACAAATAGTAGCAGCTAATCATTGCACTGATTTTCTTTTCAGGAGCTGTCTGTTCCCAGTGTCCATGACATAGGAGCTTTGGTGGCATTTGGCTCGGGTGTTGTATACATTACCCTTCAGTCTATAATCTCTTACAAGTCCTGTCCACAATGGAACACTTACTTTGTGTGTCACATAAGGATGGCCATATCTGTAATATCATGTATTGCTTTCATTCCCAGTATCCTTTATGGTGTATCCCACAGTTTTCCCTTTATGCATTCAAGATCTTCCTTTTAAGTTTAACCATTGCTGATAAAAGATGAAAATGAGGTTACAATCTCTGTTTAGGGCTCTCCAATATTTCTGCTACAATAATGCATGTAGCATGTTGAGACACCTTTAATAGCATAAAGATGAGTCTCAGGGTCTTCTAAAAAGCTGTCATCTTTCAGTGGTATATCTAAATGAAATGCCTCGGTGTTCTTCATAAAATCATGCAATAATAAAGCTAGACCAACTTTCCAACCTCATTCATTTGAAGAACAGTACAGAGAAAGGTTTGCAAAAGGGAGGCACTGCTTCTAATGTGAACCTAACACATACATGTATAAAGTACAGTGGCATATGCATGATTTCCGTCAAGCTTAAGCAGATGCTTTTGATCATACTGGTTTGAGCTTGGCTTCATTAGATGCCTCCCCCAGAGACACATTCAATACACTTAACTGGCTTTTTCCACAGCCTGAAGAAATTAGAGTCATCCCATTGATTTTATTGGTCTTTAGGTGATCTGCCAGTGTTGAAAAGTTGTTGCAGAAGATCATCCCATCAGCCACCCAGGAATAGCCTGCTCTTGGTTTCAGCAGCTGTGAAAGTACTTTTAGAGAGGGTCCTGGTCCTGAAAGTTGTACAAATATACCAAGGCACCTATTGTGGACCAGTGGAGGACAACATAGTTCCTCTTCCAACAATGCAGGACTCTGCCCTCACAATTCTCAGTCATGAAAGAGATCTAGGTTTTGGAGTGTCTCTCCTTACTCTCTGTACTTCAGAAGAACCCACAGAAACCCTTATTTGTGCAGAAATTTGTTTTGATTGCTGTTATCAGTTAATTCTCAATTATCTGTTTCATTTACTTGTCTTCTTAATACTTTTATTTCATATTCTGGTTGTTCAGGATCCCATGTTACAGAAGAGGGAGATGGGGTCTTTTTTTTTTAAGCAGACATTTTCAGTTTCTCACTAAGCTCTTATAATCTCCTTTACACTGTGTTTTTCCCAGTGATTGTGTTTGCTTCAAAAATTTCCATGACAAAAATTGATTGGACTCCAGATGAAAAGGTAAAATCTCACTAAGTAGCCAGCTTACCCTGTATCATATTATTTGGGTAGGCTGTTATGTTTATCTAAAAGTGTACAGCATTAAAAACACTTCAGAGACTTTAGATAGTACATTATCATGAACAGATTTGTGAAATCTCGCTGGTTGATGGGAATGGTTTCCAGTTATTTCTTCAGTAGAAAACTGTCCGCGGTTTGGGTAAGAAAACTTGTCATGGAAGAGTCAATCTTTGAAGTGTTAGACTTTCATCTTAACCAAGCATTTGAAACTTACTGAATGAAGAAATTGTAGTTTCATTTGTTGAAAATGAGCTTCAGACATGAAACACAAGTGAACCAATTTGATTTGAAGTTTTGGAAGTTTTTTACAACCTTTGGTCTCTCAGCTTTTTTACCATTCTGTATTAAAGAGTCTTTACCATTGTGATAAACATCTGGGAAATGACCTGAAGTTTACTAAAGTCAATATCAGGTATTTGAATTGATTTCAGTAATCTCAGAATTATAAGTATGAAAGGTAAGTTTTCTTTTTGGACAAATTTTGTCTCACGGGTATTAAAAAATCAGGTGGAATAATGCAGAGAGCATATCCTGGTGGAAAAGCTTAATAAAAGCAAACTTGGCAAATGTACCTCAACTGAACACTGGCAAGGCAGCTGTGAGAGAAATCTTCGCAAGTTAGATGATCTTAGTAATATCTACCTCTTCAGGTTTGTTTTGGTTTTTTACTTCAGATGCAAGGATGAGCAAATGTTTTTACTGAAACATGTGACATATTTGTTGACGGCATGTTAAGAAACACCTAATGTTCTGTTTGTTTCATATTACATAGGTTTTCTATGATGGTATACTTAAAAACAAAGGTCTTATCAGGCACTGCCATATAAGGGTAGCTCTCCATTTTAAAACATTGTGAGAATTTACTGGAAGCAATAGTACTGCTGAACACAGTGGCTCTGAGTAGAAGTTTTGCATATGGGCACTTTGGTATCCTTCACATAAGAACTAGGTGTTTCAGGTGCAAATTATATTCAAGCTATGTTTTGATCTTGTGCTGATTATAGTTTTCTTGTACTATTTTTTATGTTGGTGCACAAGATGTTGCTTAATAGAACATAGAATCATAGAATCATAGAATCATAGAATCATAGAATGTTTATGGTTGGAAAGGACCTTAAGATCATCTAGTTCCAATCCCCCTGCCATGAGCAGGTATGCCTCACACTAGACGTATGCAACTTTGATAAATATACTTACTGTAAAAACTAAATCTGAATTGACTTTTATAGAACAGCATATTTGGACGATGAGTTATAAATCACAGAATATTTGTTGAATTTACAGGAGTATATGGCTATTTTTATAGCATTCCACAGTTACTGTGCTTAGCTGTTTAATCTGAAAATTGGTTTTATGTCTTATTCCATCAGGATTATACCTATCATGTTGTGAGTGCAATCTGTGAATGGACGGTGGCCTTTGGTTTTGTCTTCTTCTTTTTAACATTCATTAGAGATTTTCAGGTTGGTATCTACATATTTTAGCAGTAACTAAGAAGCACTATGAATTGTAGATAACAAATGCAAAAGAAAATTACCATTCTTTATCTCAACTAGATGTAGCAAAGCTTTCCAGAAACAAATTTTATCAGGCACAGAACTGATTTCTGTCTACCTAATGAATATTTTTCTCCTGGGTTTCAATACATAAAAATCAGTTTTAAATGAGTTTAATAGGTGTCTGATCTTGAAAATTATTCAGTAAATTAATATCTTCTACTTATTTACCAAACTTTTTGTAGAAAGAGACCCTCTAGAGGTGACATAATACCAAAATAAATGCTGCAACTAAAATGCATTTTTTAATACCTGAAGGATTTTACGTAAAAATCCAATGCATTTCAATCAATCATAGATGTTTCCTTTCTTTTTTAAGATTACACATTTTGATATTCATTCCTCACAATGCAAAGAATGTAAAATACTTTGTGAAAAATATTGGCATGAAAACCTTGTGGTTTGGGTAGCTGAACGTGTGATGCATCAAGCCTGACTTTAAGGAAGAGAAAATATTAGATAGTTACAAGGAGAACACTTATACAATTTGTGAAAGGCGTGCCTTGAACTTAGTTTCTTAGTTAGATTTGACTTGCTAACTCTTGTTTACACGGTGTGTTCTAGCTGCAGTGTTTCATGGGGTTTCAGTGCTGAAAATACCAATATGTGAGTTCTTTGTCAGAAGAACTTGTGAAAAACAATAAAAAAATAAAAGAAACATTGCTCACAACAGGTGCCTTGTGGAGATTTGAGGGCAAAACCTCCTGGATATACTGTAGTTGCTAGGATCATTGCCTCCTTATCCTTTTCAGATTGCTGGATGTTTATCTTCCCCATAAAGTAGTTGTATCTTTGCAAGAATAGAGAGCTTAAGGTAGAAAGGCTGAGAACTGCTGCTTTATACTGTAGTTACAAAGACGAACTAACTCAGTTGAGATTGCTGTGATGTCATACCCCATACTTAGGTCTTTCATATATACCGTTGCCTCACACAAATCCCAAAAAGCTGAAAACTAGATCCAAGCACTTGCATAACTCTAGAAATAAGTATCAAGATCACATATGTGAGCCAATTGGTGCTGCGGTAACTTGCTGGAAAACATATCATGAATTCGTGGAGGTGAGGAGGGAATTAAAATAGGAGACCCCTCTAAATCCACTGGCATAAAACCGAAATCTGACATTAGATTATGTAAAATTTGGTAATTAATTTACTTGCTTCTTCACTTATGTGCTTGCTCAGCATGGAAGTGGTTAAAACTTATATAGAATCTATACAAAACTTTCATAAGCATATATAGAAATAAAATTTCAAGTAAGGATTCTGAGTTAACATATATTTTGCTAACTTTATAGAAAAATTTATACACCTGTTTACTTTTGATTGGTAGTACTGAACAGACCATGGCCTTAGGGCTTTCTCTTATTAAAAACCCAACAAAAACAGAGCTAGGTTCTGCAGAACAAAACGCTTTTGGAAAAAAGATAATTGTTCAAAGTTACACAATGCATTACCTTGAAGGCATCTAAACCTGGCAAAAATATTGAGGCACTATTCAGAAATGCATGTATCATTAAATTTACCATCTGGGGGAAAGAGGAGGGCTTATTGCCAGTCCATCATTCTCTGATGTCTACATATATGACGGTATCTCTTATCAAAAGTCAGACCCTTCCCTTGGAGCTACATATTTAAAGACAGTGCTGTAGTCCTTAAAGCAGCTAAATCAGTTTCTAAGTCTACTTCTGAGCACAGATCCCAAAGTGTTCAACACTGGAAGTTTAACTATATATGTATATATAACTATGGTGAACATAATAAATAAGAGAAAGTGAAGGAATTAAGCTAAATAGAAATGCAGACATTTTAAATTACAACTAAAAATTAGCATGAAATCCAATGATGGTGTTTGACAGTGACAGAAAAATTTTTAGGTAGAATCTAAATTCTATCCTCTTTTTGTCCTAGCCAGTGCTCACAGAAAGCCAAACTATTGATTCAGAAAAAACAATCACCAGACTCTAAGAAAAATAAGCCTTCTCTTTTCTTTAGAATTTTTCACAACATGTATTTCACTTAAATACATTTTTTTGTTTTATCTCCTTGTACTTTATATCACAGAACTGTAAAATTAATTTATGTTCAGCTGATCTTGTTTTATTTCTCTTTTAGAGAGTTTCTTTAAGGATATCAACAGAAATACATGAAGACTCCTGATAGTGGAAAAAATTATGTTTTATATATATGAATATATTTTAGGTTTCTTTTTACTCATAGAGAATATTGCAGAGGGATGGGGTTTTATCAAGTGGTATAAAGAACCCATGCCATTAACTCCACAACATCTGTAACAGCATCCACTAAATAATTTCAAAAATTTGCAGCAATGTTCCTGCTACTTTTTTTACACTATTTTGTAGGTTTTATACTTTTTGTTATATTAAAAATACTGTAATAGAAGCAATCTGCAGAAGCACTTGAAAGTCATTCAAAAACTTGATCTCCTTAGCTCTTCCCTTTTGGACATATCCATACCTTTCCATTTGCTATGATCTGATTGGTAACAGTTTTAAACTTGAGAACGTCCATTTTGCAAATAATAAGAAAAGTCTAAAGACAATGGAAAACACTAAGGCTGAATTCCTATTCTGTTAATTGGCAAGGAATGTGGAGGAAATTGTGAGCAGAATTGGGCATCTTTGTTTCAAGACTAGAAATTGCAGTTAGTAGATGGCAATGCTGTGCTACATGTTTCTGATAGCAGACACTGCACACAAATACAGATCCTAGGAGAGGTTTAAACTACGCTGCTTGAAAAATATTGTCTGATTATCACTGCACTGTGTGTTGTAAAAGTCTACCCCTTTTCCCCCTTTATGCACTGATGGCCATAGGAAGCTTAAAACTGAAGTGAGAATAGAAAGTAAATTTATGATATACTAAATGCATGATCTGCTAAAGAGAAAATTTAGTTACAATCTGGTTAATAGAAGGCAGAAGTTTTCCAGCTGTATTTTAACCTACAGTGATAGAATGAAGAGGGCCTATAAAAAGTCACTGGGACCAAATAGAAAACAAGAGGAGGCACTACTAGTTCCCAGGTGTTCAGTTGTGTGAGTTTTACATATACATAACACCGAAGAAAAAAAAAATCCTGGAGAGTTTCTGTAGTGAAGATATGGCATACTTGCTGCTAGAAACTTAGTTCTGTAATGAAAGTCTTGGAAAAGAGCTAATTGAGAGGTCGAATGTTACAGTATCTGGTCTTCTGTGGACTGATTCACTACCTCCATTTCATGCACTAACCACTTGGCTATCAATCAAGTTGTCTGAAAATTACATTTACCATGGTCTGTCACAATTTATACAGAAATATTGATGATTTTCAGTTGCTAATTTTCCATAGGATAAAAAAAATAAGCGTTTTGGAGAGTGGTGTCTAAAGACAAGTCATCTATTGATACTTCCTTAAATGTGTATTTTAAACTGTATTAAACTCAGCTGTTTCACAGCTTAAAGAGTGTGTTTTCTTTGTAAGTTCTTCAAATAAAAACAGTTAAAAATGTTTTTCACTGACAGATATGCTTTACACACTATTCAGGTTATCTTGCAGAGGTTTTTAGTTATGATCTTGTCAAAAATCTAATCTAGTACTGAGTAAATCCAAACTGTCTTGCTGATTAGGTATCCTGCAAAGGGCAAGCATTTCTTCAAGTGAAGACCAGAAACTCACTAGAAAATGTATAATAACCACAAAAAGTTACATCCTGTTATTCTGAAGGCCATGTTAAGAAAAGCCCATATTTCTTAGTGCATTGAATATTGTACTTTTATTACTTTTTATTCCTAGCATTCTTAAACTAAAATGTAAGGAGCTTGAATCTGTTATTTCAAATTATGTCAGATTTCAGTTCACCAATTTAATAAACTCTTTACATGGATAAAAGAAATTATACTAACCTCAAAGTTCAGCCTTAACTAATGTTAGCGTGTTTTTACAGTGAATCAAAGTATATTTAAACAGGAAAACGATTATTTGTATTGTTCTGATTTAGGCAGGAAATCACCACAGTAAGTTTCACAAGTTTCAAGGTGAGAGAACACTAAGAAAACATTAATCATCATCCCAGTACAAGGCTTCTGAAACAAGTTCACACTTACTGAATCTCTTAGTACTCTGTCCTCAAAAGAATCATATCCAGCCTACCAACTTTTAGAATGTTTAAAGTATCCTATAGAGAAGAAAAAAAAAGATTGGGTGGTTGTTTTTTTTTCAGAGAAAATGGCTGCGTTTAGATAATCTTGTTTGCTGAAATCAAGGTGTTAATTCAAGTACCAAAGAACTATCAAATGAAATCCTTCCAATTTTTCTGAGCTTCGTTAAGATGCATTTTTATCTGAGTTACATTCATGACTGAAAGAACGTATCACCAACAGTTTGCCTTTTATTTAATTTGTTAGGCTAAAAACATCACCATGCATCAGCAGGCAGATAGAGACAACGGGTTGTTACCTTTCCATTTGTGTGGTGAACAACTATTGAAAACACTTGCTATTTGCTAGATCCAGGCAGCTTTTCAGTCAAGATCCTAATTATTTATTTGGTTGAAATGTGAGTTGAAAAGTTGCAAGCATTTAAAAAATTTATTCTAGCAATGTGTACTATTTTAGCTGTAGATGACTTCTGTTAAATTACACTTCAATTTTTCTCAACCAAGTATCTCTACTTAGGTTAGTACAGATAATGCCACCGTACACTTCTGTTGCTTTGCAGCAGGATCTTTTCCTATATTTCCATATTTCTTAGCAACAAGAAATACCTATTTTTTCATGGGAGCTATGTGAGAAATATTTTCACCATCAAATCTGTGTGATGCTTTCTGTTTGTCAGCCCATCGTGATTGATTGAGAAACTTGTTTTGCATAAACTACAGTAAACCACACGACAGTTGCTGTTCTTTTTAGCAATAATGCTAAAAAAATTCTCTACCCCTTCCAAAAGTGCAAAGTCTCATTTTCTTAAGTTGTGTAGCTTGATGTACTGATGAAATAGTACCACTGTGGTCTCTATCACACATGTAAGACACGTTGCAAATCATGTAAGGATGAAAATCAACTTAAAATACCTAAACCCCACTTTGTCTCAGGACACTGCTGCTCACACTGCTCTTGTTTCCCGTGTGTGCTCAGCCAGTGATCACTGTGTACTGCACTTTTGGTTTTTCTCATATGGTGTTCTAATTTTCTATTTCTGACCTGCTCTGTTTGCATCCTGCCTTATCTGTGACAGCAGCATAGGTTTTTTGACAGTCATGAAACAATCTTCTTGGCAAGGGGTTTATTATTTGGTGGTAAAACTGGCTGCAAAACTTTCAAGCAGACTAGAGGGATTATGGTGACATATGTCAGTAAATTTTGGACATTTCAGGATGAAGTTTGTAAAGATATTCAAGAGCTTGGTATTTTAAACTGCTCTGTAAATACAGTCACAAATTTCATTTCCTTGCAAGATGAGCTAATGTCCCTTTATTTGGGAGAAATTTGACGTAACCTAAGCAAGTTGCAATAGATTTTCATTTATAAGATTTCTGTCACTTTGACTAAAACTATCACACGTGAGTCTGTCTTCCACTTCATTTGTGTATGTGCCCATACGGCCCTTACATTGCGTACGCAAACAGTAGTGGCATGATGAAGCTTGGGTAGTAGGTAGAGTCTTACATGCTGCTGTAATAAGATAAACGATAATAATTGTTATATCTTATAAACAACAGAAGTAACTTTACAATCTTTGGCTGTGTTTTCTAGCTGGTACTGTGATGCAGAAAGAGCATTTCTCGCATTTTGAAAGGAAAACAGGCAACTTGTACATGTGGTATCTGTATTTTTCCCAGTACACAATAGATGGCACTAGTAGACCACATGATCAGAGTTTATTTTCCATGTTAAGGCTCGCGAGTACAATAGTCTTGTACGTTGTTTTAAATATTTTTAACAGTCATCTGGAGACCCAGTTAAATGATCTTTTTATTATGCCTTTGTGGAAAACAAGTCAGATCTAAGTTTCCTTGCCATCCCTTCCTGCCTTAATCTAAGTAAATATGTTTTGCTACTGCAACATGTAGTTTCATAGCAACTTCAATACTCAAATTCATTTGTCTGAATCAGAGGAGCCACTTGCTGAAGTTGGCTCTGGCACAAGCTGCAGTTCAGTTGTCATTATTAAGCCACTTCCTTTAGGAAGTTTTTCCTACCCTATTTACAAAGAAACTGCATTTTATTCAGTATCTTTGATAGCTTTCTGTCAGTTCTCAGTGCGTCATCAGAAGAAAATAAATATAGACCTTATTTTCACGAGCCAAAGAACAAGATCTTAACATTTCAAAATTGTAGCCATGTTGCACCCAGAAACAGCGACATGTCACATTGCAAAAAAAATTCAAGGCAGTTGCTGTATCTAAAATCCACTTTTGTTCACACATAACAAGACTGTTTTCAGTTATCTCCTTGCCTAAATAAACACCTGGATAGCTTTTTTTTGCATGTCTTCCGTGAAGTGTAGCAATAATCCAGGCCTCTGAACTTTTATTATTTTACCTGAAATGGTACAAGTTCAGCATTTTTGGTCTTAAATAAGCCACACTGAGCATAGATATTCCTCTTTATTTATTAAACTCTTATCAAATGGTGCAAGGATTTTTCTTTACATATAAATATAGAAAGTGCTTTAACAAAGTATGAATAGTTTGTTATTGGTAGATATCTTTAACATGGTAGAACCTTCTTAGTCCACAACATGACTCCTCTCCCGACACTCACTCATAATATTCATTGTATGTGGAAGAGAGATACCTTTCAAAGACGGTTTCTCTGATGAACATCTAGACTTTCATCATGAGATATGCAGGAACAGACTCTCTGTAGCCCTACTTCTATTAGAGAGATTAGCAGCGGACAGATCTCCCTGCAAAAAGCTATCTTTCCTTCCTCTTACACTACATCAAATAGTTGAAGCACATTAGATGGTTTTCAAGGACTTTTTCCTTTTGAATTATTCAAGAGTATTTGGCTGTGGCAATGGGAAAAAGGAAAGTAGTGGCAGCACAGATCAACATCAGCTTGGTAAGGTGGTCACAGTCAGTGTCACTCAAGGGTGCGATGTCCCCCAGAGAGGCAGGTCAGTATAAGAAGATCATCTGTCTGCAATAGGGGGTTTA